TGGGGGCCTGAGGAGGAAGGCTCTGCACCAGAGGAGAGGGGGGCAGAGGAGGGAACAGGACCTGGGAAGGGAGTGGCTGGGCTCCAAGGGAAGGGCCAACAAGTGGTCCTGCTACTCCCCTTGCCTTTCTCCTCCCCCAGGCCTCCTCCCATTTTCCTGATTCTAGGACAACCCCAGGTCTGGAGGTAGATGTGGTCTACATGGCCCGGGGGAAGGCTCAACTGGCTGATAAACAGGACAGGGACATGCTCACGCTCGCCAACAACATGGACGCGGGCACTAAGATCCTCTGGAGACGTTGGGAACAAGGAAAAGGCGTGGCCAGACAATACCTTTCCTTCCACCTGGGATGTGGGATGTCCACACCACCCGCTAGGCATAGCTCAAGAGGCGAATGAATGGTCCAGATCCCAGATTTTGTACAAGAGCAACATGGAAACAACAGATACTGAGCTTTCCGGTGAACACAATCAGCAACAAAGTAATGGTGCCGTTTCTGTGGTTAACCTCTGGCTGCTGCTACCCTTATGCTGTGCCCTTTCTCCGTGTGGTTTATGTCAAACGCCTGCCAGATGTGCTCACTTTTGAGTCTCTACTGAGGACCCCAAAGCACTGCGTGGAGGCCAGTGCGGACGACTCCTCGGTGGGTGACTATCTACTCCCCTGACAACCGCCGAAACCCTGTTCTGTCCAGAGTAGCTGACCCATTGCCAGATACACAAAGTTCCCGATTCACAAACACATCATGTTCCAGAAACCCATCTAAATTTACATGGGGATCTATTTTCCCACAGAAACAATGTTATAAATGGTGGTAATGTTCTAATAGGCCTCTATTTCATAAAATGGCTCGACTTCAGGACAGAGAGCATGCCCATTTCTTAGAGCATACTTTCAAAATAAAAAAAAATATTTTAGGGAAGCTTCAGAATTAAAAAAAGACACACACACACACACACAAACCCCACCCTCTTTAACCCAGTTTCTGCAGTGAAACATTTTGATGATGATGATAAGAGCTAACGATTGTATATAAGTTTGCTTTGAGGACTTTTCTATAGACTAATTTAATCTTTTTAAAACACTACTACTGCCCTGGCCAGTGTGCTAAGTGGTTAGAGCGTTGGCCAGCGCACCAAAGTTCTTGGGTTCGATTCCTGGTCAAGGGCACATACCTGAGTTGCAGGTTTGACCTCCAGCCCTAGTTGGGGTGTGTGAGGGAGGCAACCAACGGATGTGAGATGTGTCTCTCTCACATAGATGTTTCTCTTTTCTTCTCTTCCTCCTCCCTCCCTCTCTAAAAATCAATGGGAAAAATATCCTCCGGTGAGGATTAACAACAACAAAAAAATCACAAACCAAAAAAAAAAAAAAAAACCAAACAAACCCACACGACTATTAAGACAGCGCTGCTCATTATTCCCATTTACAGTGAAGCCACGCGCAGGGAGGTCAGACGGTTAACAAAGGGCAGGAGCGAGGATTTGACCCGAGTCCAGGGCTGAGCCAGGGGCTGGTAAACTGGCCCGCCGGCCACTCTGGTCTGCCGCCTGCTTTTGTAAATAAAGTTATATTGGCACCTGGCCTTGTTTGTTTGCTTACATGTTGTCTGTGGCTGCTTTTGTGCTACAAAGGCAGAGCTGGGAGCTGCCACAGAGACCCCTACCTCATAAGTACTTACTTTGAACCTTAGGCCTGCAAAGCCTAAACCAGGGGTCCTCAAACTTTTTAAACAGGGGGCCAGTTCACTGTCCCTCAGACCGTTGGAGGGCCGGACTATAGTTTAAAAAAAACCTATGAACAAATTCCTATGCACACTGCACATATCTTATTTTGAAGCAAAAAAACAAAACGGGAACAAATACAATATTTGTATTTGCATGTGGCCCGCGGGCCGTAGTTTGAGGACCCCTGGCCTAAACTATTTATTACGTGACTTTTTACAGAGGTTTGCTGAGCAAAGGTTACACCATCCTGCAGCTGCCATGAAGGGAGGGCCGACCCTCCTCTCCGACTCTCGCACGCACCTCCCTGCAGGCAGTGGAGGCCTGGGACTGGAGGAAGCCCAGGCACCTCATGTCCTCGCCAGCGTTGGGCGGGCCGGAGGACTGCTGACTGGCACAGGGGGCCTCACGCTCAGGCCTCAATCAGCTTCCTGCCTCATTTCCAAAACGATTTGAAGCAGGGCCCACAGGAACCCGGCAGACAGGAGGGACTGCTTGCTTCCATTCATTGCTGGAACATTATTGAACAAAGAACAGATATGTACTTTACGTTTTTGACTCAGGGACCTCTTGTGCTTCATTTGAAGACGACCATGGAACAGGTTAAGCCCGCCGACGCACTGCCTGGGAGACAGTGGTCAAGGCCCTGGTCAGTTTTGCCTTCTGGGCAGATGAATGGCTCCCAGGGGATGATGCCTTACAGGGTAAGGTCATTTCCAGGCATCCCGGGAATTTCCCTGGCTCCTAAGAGCTTCACTCACTGATCATGCTGTTGGCCAGGATTTTTTAAAATCAACAACAAATTTGAAATTTTTTCCATGTTCTTATCAGATGAATACAAGCACAGTGGCAGAGTTATGACTGCTCGGGTGTTTTATTATTATTCTTTCTTTCACCAGACTGAATGACTTCAGATTTCTGGGGAAGGATTTGAAAACCACATTTTGGGAACTCTTTCTAGAAAAGAATAAGCATGGCCCAGAGTAGTGATTTTCAGCTGGTGTGCCACAAAAAAGAATTTTTAAACATGTACTACCTGGCCATTTAGCTGGGGGCCCGGACCTCTTTCCCTTTAGATTGTCAAATAAAAAAAAATGACAACAGCCAACACAATAGCTATGTGAATGAATCCAAGTTATGCCTATTTTTTTTTTCTTTGGTCAGATCAGCAAAAGATAAAATATATTTTTTGGTGTGCCGCAGAACTTTAGTCACTAGCGTATGGGTGCCCTGAGATGGACAGGTTGAAAATCGCTGCCCTCGAGGAGGGATGCTGTTCAATGAGTGAGTCCTGCCCCTAAGGACCAGCTGCCAGGTGGTATTTCATTGATCTGACTCACCACTGACTTTTAAATGAAAACACATTGCACTCAGCTGAATGAAACTGCTACCAGAGGCTGGGAAAGTATCTATAAAAGAGTGGGTGGGGTGTGGGCGGACGGGTCTGATGGAAAGCAAGTCTGTAATGCAGGTCCAGGGAGAGAAAGGGGCAGAGAGGGGAGGCTGGAGACAGTGGGAAGCGATCCAACTGTGACTGGGGCCTGAGCGGGAGGGCACGGGGTAAAGCCAGTCCCCCAACGTGCATCCTGAGCCTAATGGCACCCCATTTGGGAGGGCTGGCTGTCCCCCAGCTTCTCAACAGTCTGGTCCTGGGGAAATGTCGCAACGGTCACGTTTACAAACCCCCACAAAAAGCCGCTGTCTGAGCAAACCCCGGCCTGGAGTCCGACCTGGACATTCCCTGTAAATGCAGACGGCAGGTGTCGGAACATCCTCGGCGACTTTTGACACCATCACCCGGGGCTTCCTGCCCAGTCTCTCGTGTTCAGCGTGTTTTACAAACGCTCTAAGCAAACACGCTAACAGTATCCCAGCAGATTCTAGGGAGCACACGCTGAAAGACGATCAAAGGGAAAGCTGGGATGCGAGTTCGCACAGGCGCCCCGCCCCGCGCAGGCCGCTGGGCGGACATAACCTTTCCCGTCTGGTGGGACTCGCCCGCGGCCGGTGCTCCACCGCAAAGGGCACGGCTCTCCCGGGAGGGAGGGCAGCCACCGGCAGGACGCGCACACACGGCCGCTAACCAGCCTCTGGGGAGAAACGAAACGCTGCACTCTTGGCCGCAAGCCCTCTGGCCTGTGTTTCTTTTTTTGAGTTTGGAACTCTGACCTTTATAAAAAGCTGGACTCGCTGCCCAGAAAAACAGGAAGGCCACTCACCAGGAAGCCCTGGAATGAAGCACTGAACGTGGGTTAACGTTTCTCTGCCAGCAAAGCGAAGTCTCAGCCATCAATGCGGTGCCCCCCTGGTGATGCCCGACGCCTTTCCCCTCCGTGGTCCCCGCCCCTGTGATCGCTAATGACCGCTCCACGGCGGGACAGCCAATGCGGCTGTGTCGTCCCTCAGACGGGCCGTGTGGCATTGGGGATGGGGCTCCTGTCCTCAGCTTGGGGTGGAGGAGGCAGTAGATAATCCAACAAGTGAAGAAAAAAAGCAAACAGGAAAAGGGCTGTGCCTGGCATGGTTGCTTGAAGCTACCCCAACCCTAACGTTCATCCCTGTGTACCTCCACTAGAAAACACTAGAAGGCAAACACAGATACCCAATGGGGAGCAGAGAGAGCTGGTGGCCTTCCCCACAGATCTAGAGCCAACATGAAGATGCTGGCGAACCAATCGCCCCCAAACACACTCCCAAGTGAAGGCCACAGTGACCCCTGCCATCTGGAGGCACACAGCCCCTCCTCCTCACGGGAGCCCTGCCCGGCGCCCCAAGACATGCAAACCAGTTTCTTATGCAGAGATCAGCCGCGTCCTCTCCCCAGAACATTTTGTCTCCGTTCTCTAGATCAATGGTTCTCAACCTTCCTAATGCCGCGACCCTTTAATACAGTTCCTCATGTTGTGACCCAACCATAAAATTATTTTCATTGCTACTTCATAACTGTAACTTTGCTACTGTTATGAATCGTCATGTAAATATCTGATATGCAGGATGTATTTAGGCGACCTCTGTGAAAGGATCATTCAACCCCCAAAGGGGTCGCGACCCACAGGTTGAGAACCGCTGCTCTAGATGCTAAGAGACACAGAAAGCCAACTGCCTGCAAAGGAAACGCGGATCAGGGAATATTCCTGGTTTCAAACGAAGAGAAAGAGCAGCATTTCAGCTGCTCTTCGCCTCTCCGCCGTGGGATGTGACCACACCAGCCTGGCCCTGCCTGAGGCGAAGCTTTCCCAAGGAAAGGGGCCCCGGTGGGTGTGTGGGTGTCCTCACCTCGAACTTCTGCCTGAGCTCCGCGTTCCCCTCCTCGTCCCCTTCTGGAATGGGCACGTTGTAGTACTCCCCTTCTTCCTGGTTCAGCAGCTTGTACCTTTCAGACACGGAGGGAGAAGAGTCAGGTCCCGGGCTCAGCAACCCCTCTCCCTCACCTCGCGCCCGGCTGCTGCTGCAGGCATCCCGCGGGGAGGGGAGAGCCAGGCAACCACACAGCCCCCGTCCTTTCAGACGGGAACCCGCTGGTTTCCAGATCTCTAAGTGCTCTGAGGTTCTGAGGCGACCAGCCCTGGGTGGACACAGACATCATCACCTGGGCTTCCTTACCATCCACTGGCCGGCATCTTCATCAGCTCCGAAACGCCGAAGGAAAGCGACCCCATGAAGTCGTTCCTTGTCGTCCGGTCCCAGTCCCAGATTTCTATGGACAGCCGCCGGTCTTTATCTGAAGGTTTCAATTTGCTACAAACGAACAGACACACACACACGATTACCTTGATGTGGTTTCCTGGGAGATACCCCATGCTCATGATCTGAGCTTGAGTTTAATGCAAGTATTAATCTCAATATTCAATTCTCTTCCTGTGACTCCCCACTGCCAACAAAGAATCAGCCTCCTGGCAAAACCAATGCTCTAGACTAGGGGTTAGCACAGGACAAATCCGGCCCACGGCTTGTTTTTGTAAATAAAGTTTTATTGGAACACAGCCATAACCGTTTGTTTACATATGGTCTGTGGCTGCTTTGACTCTAGAACAGCAAAACTGTGTACCTGTAACAGAGACTGTATGCCTGTAAAGTCTAAATTATTTACCATCCAGCCCTTTACAGAGCACAGCTTGCCGGCCTCTATTCTATACGATTGAGAGCTATCTTCATGGCTGACTCCAGGTGAATGGCTCCCTGTGCTCTAGTCTACAAAGAGGACTGCTTGTCTGTGCCTTGTCATCCCTGACTTATTTATACCCCCTTTCCTCTACCTTCTCTATCTCTAAATGCCACCTCCTCCAAGAAGTCTTCCCTGCTTAAAGGTCAGGATGACCTTCCCATTTCGGTGGCAATGGCGGCGTTGATGTTACTCATTTATTTCATGCTTCAAAAGTTATTATTCAAATTCTTACATCATACCTTGACCCTCACAAGATCCTTATGCTTTTATATCATCTGTAACGTAAGAAACTTTTTGTACAGAGTAGAGATTGATGATAATTCGGGGTCGGCATCATGAAACTCTTGGTAAACCAAGTTATTGACCATCAGACATGAGTGACCTGGTGGGCCCCCCACCCCGCCCAGCAGCAGCCTGCAAAGCCTTCGGATTGAAGCCATGTTGAGCGACATCTATAACAAGCCCCCCTACAGGATCCCAGCCACAAGGCGAGCGGGTTTGTGGTGAGCAGGGAGGGCACTCGGTCAAGGAGAAAAGACAAAACTTACAACGTGAAGGACTCGTTCCACTGGGGGTTTAGTGTGGAGCGGATGGTTTTGGTTTTCTGTTTGCTTTCATTCTTGGGATCAGGAATGAGCTTGAGCTTCACGTACGGGTCTGAAAGTCCATTTGGATCCATGGGGATTAGATTTTTCGCATCTTGTACTGTGAAGGGAGAAGGAAGAAAGATGAAATGAGAGAGAGAGAGAGAGAACCGACCCCCACCCAGCAGGGAGTGGACAGGACAGCACGCGCTTGGCAGCCTCCTTCACCAGGGAACCCCGCACGGAAACACCCTCACCAGCCTCTCTCCTCAGCTAGGGAAATGGACAGGGCATGTTTCCAGCGGCTTAGCGTTGTTGGGAGAATTAAATGAAATGAGGGGCTCTGTGCTTCACACAGTTGGTGGTTTGGGAAACGGAGGAGGGAAAAGAGATTCACGCTGTGAGTGCCCACTCTGCCCAGCCGACGAGGTGGGTGGTCTCCAGGGGACCTGGCTGCCTCCGGCTGCCTGTGAACCCCCCCAACCCATCCCCCGCAATCCCTCGGAACTCTGGCAGACGGCTTCTAATGCAATGCAGGAGCACCAGCCTCCTGCAACAGCAGCCCAAGGATCACAGAAGGTTAAACACTGGAGCATAAAAGAAAGCTCCCCGACAAGGCCTGGGGATGAGCCATAGGTCCCTCCCTGCAATTAAGCACTGGGATGAATCAGAGCTTTTAAGAAGCAGGAAAAGCCCGCATGCCGAGCGAGCACTGAGCTGCATTCCAGACGGTCTCATAGGAACCGTCGAGGCTGCCAACAGCTCTTCTCCTCCTCGAACGACTATGGGTGCGGCTCTGCCATCAGCCCGCGCCGCGACACAGTCACTTCAGGCCCCTCTCTCCTGAATGGTGATGAGTTAAAATGCCAACAGCATTGAAAGCTGTGGGCTTCCTATGGAGACGTTATCCTTTAAGCTGAAGGGGTTATCAGTTCCCCATGTCACTGAAGTAGACGTGGGTCCAAATCCCCATTTCTGATTGCAGGGAGAACAGCGTGCCGAACACCTGAATCGGGATGGGCAGCGACCGACCCGGGGTCCCACCTGCTCAGGACGCGGGGCCAGGCAGGCGGCCGGCGCTTGGGTTCTGGCTCTGCACTTCCCGGGCGTATAACTCTGGGCGAGACGTTAGCCTCCCTGCACCTCCAGGGTCTTCCCCGGAAAACTGTCCCTCACTGATTATGCCGGTTCCACACACAAAGCGCTCAGGACAGTGACAGGCGCACAGCGAGAGCCCAATGACAATGACGACGACGATCAATGACGATGACGATCATCAGGTGTGAATCCACGTTCCTGGCACAGAACACAGCCGGAGGGACGCCCGGGACAGGCAGCACATGCACTGGCAGGCAAACCCGTGAAGAGGAAATTTCCTAACGTGGTTGCGGCTGCACGGTGCCAGCACTGTGCTCAACCAAGCAGCGGCGTTGGCGGGTGTCCCCGACAGGAGCAGGTGTGGGGAAGCTGGAAGAGGGGAGCTCAGGGGGGGGGGGGTGGGCAACACAAGCGTGGAAGTGGATGATCAAAAGGGCTAGAGGCAGGGGAGAGAAAGAGAAGGGCAATGCCATGGCCATGCAGTCAGAGGGGGTAAGGACGCTGCCCTCCCCTCCCCAACAGGTGCCGGCACTGGGTCTCCACCTCCACTGCGCACCGGAAACAGCTGGGATGCTTGAGCGAATAGTGATGCCCCCCCTTCCCGCACCCGAGAGTCTCATTTAATTGGTCTGGGCGGAGGCCCAGGCATGAGCATCTGGTTGGCTTCCCAACTGAGTATCTCTAAGCGTGGTCCCTGGACTGGCATCACTGGCACCATTTGAGGATTCAGACCCTTATTCATGTTAAAAAAGATCTACTCACTTTTTAACATTCAAGAGTGAAAAATGCATCACTCAAAACTGACCACGGTGGTACACGGGAAACCGGGATTGTCTGCCATCCACCCAAAGTTACCAGGAAAATAAGTACAAGGAGAACACAACAGCCTTCCTTATTTCCGGCGGAGACAGCTGCCCGAGACCTGCTCTGGGTTACAGAGGGGGAACTTAACGAGGCTTCGAGTGTTAAGAAGATTCCAGCCCCAGAGAGAGCCTTTTTTCTAGATTGAAAGATGATTGAAAAGGGAATAACTTTCCCACCATGTCATTTAATGCTTTTTAATGTCAGGTCAGTACCTTCAGAAATGGTCTCAAGTCCGACCAACAGTCATAGCCCATTGGTGGCCCCGCCCCAACGGGGAAGTAGTTGGGGTGGGGCAGGGGGCTGCTAATTCTGAGGCAGTGAGGGTGTGGGGTGTTTTCAGTCTATGAGCACCCGGGGGGCCAAGAATGGACACAGCGCCTCATTTCTTGGCTTTTATTTTCTATAAGAACCAAACTGCTTTGATCCACAGAATTAAGATAGAAAAAAAAGTCATAAATAAACGATTGCGAATGAGACCTTTTTTTGGTAAAGCTCTATTCTGAAGGTAGATGGTCTCTAAACGCAGCCGTAGAGAAGTGACGCAGGCCCCTTGCTCATTCAGCTGCCGCAGCCCTAACTGTGCTCCCAAAGGGGCTGGGCCCCACAGGGAAGGCAGGCAGGCAGGCAGGCAGGCAGGCGGGAGCGCGCCCTCCCCTCGTCCCTCTAGTCAGCATTTCAGCAGCCTCCATGAGGACACATCTGCGCTGGAGGAATCCGTCTGGGCGGTGGAATTCGCAGTTTCAGAAGGAAAGTCGGTTCTTGATTCCAGAACTTAAATAGGAATACAGAGCACGAACCATCTTACCATCTTTTGGGCAGAGTTGCCTGTTTTGAAATGATCAGCCATCAAGCCTAGAAAAGCCAGCCTGGGTTGAAAGGTCATTTAACGTCCTGATAATGTAAGGTATCATTCTTGGCCTACATCCATTCAAATATCATGACAATTGGGAAACACCCTGAGGTGCCACCCAGATCCCTGATAGAGGGGGCGAGGCCAGCCCCGAGCACAGCATCACAGCTTTATGACAGTGTGCAGGCACCCATAGGCCCTGGCTTGAGGACCTTTGCTGTTTTCCCTGACAGCCCGGCCCTCCAAGGGCTGAGAGCAAAGGGATGCAGCTTCCTCCAGGCGACTCCTCCTGTGGCCGGGGAGGCAAGGAGGTCTGGGCGCTGGGGGAGGTCCTGGCAGCTGGACGGAGACCTGGCTGGGAGCTGCCCTTGGGTGGGAGGTGTGAGTAAGGTGCTCCGTCCAGGGCAACGGGGTGGGTACATGTTAGTGGCGCCCACTAGCGGCCAAGCTCAGTCTGGGAAAACTAAGGCTGCATGTTGCTGGGCGAGGTGAGCGCTGGTCAGGATTCAATAAAACTGTCCACAGGGAGAAGCAAAAGCCGCCTTCTTCTCTCACAAACAAGTGAGAAAGGAGAGATTTTCAGTCCCAGCTCGAGCGACACAGTGTGTCTGAGGCTCCCAAATACGGACAAGAGGCCAATCGCCCCTGTTCTCTGTGATTTTCGTTAACAATCGTATCTGCATTTTAGGGACGCTCCCTCCCCTGGTCCAGTCACCTGGTACGTGGTGGCACGACTTGGGAGCTGGCGTCGGCTCTGACGGGTGGGTCGCTAGATACGTTAAATATTTAACTGCACCCAACCTCTCACATTTACTATTTATAGAACCCCAGAGACCCCACACCCGTGAGGCCAGGCTCTTTGTTGGTAATTATTTTGAACCCACACTGCCTAGCACGGCACCTTGGCAGGCACTCAGTCACTGGCTGCAAAATTCACCATCTCCAGGCCACCCTAGTCCTGTGCCTTTGGGGTCATGCTGCCATCCCCGGGCACCTGGAGCACAGCTGTCCATCTGTCTCAGGGCTGCTGGCCCTTACAAGACCCATCTCCTCTGACCTTCCATCTACTGCCGGCCCAGCCCAGCCCAGAGGGTCACCTCTACAGATTGACAGCCGCTTGGCAGTGGGGCTGCGTCCCACCCCACACCTGGGTGTGGCGTGTCCTTCTCCTCCCCTAGCCGCCCTCCCACCCCGGCTCCAGGGTCAGCACAGGGTGAGGCAGAACCTCTGAGTGCCCCGTGGATTCTTGTTTGGCTGAAAAGCGAGAGCAGATAGGAAAGCTTGCACGCGGTTCATCTTTGGTTGCAGTACATAAAGCTTCCATGTGGAGGGACTGTCGGACAAGGAGAAACCTCACGGTGCAGTACATAAAGCTTCCATGTGGAGGGACTGTCGGACAAGGAGAAACCTTGTGCTCTGGAGAAATGATCGCCGAGCCCACAAAGACGAAAGGACAGAGAACACGGCTCCAGCTTTCAGGAAAAACGTATCAGAAAGGGCAGTTTTCTCCTGGGGAAAAAAATCGCTGTGTAGAAATTCTCAGAATTTCAAGAACGAAATGCAAAGACGTCATCAACCATGAATGATTTTTGATGGGGTCACCACAGCCTGTGATTCTGTGAACAAACTGGGGCCTTGGTGCTGTTCAGTTGTATTTTTTAAAAAAAATATTTAAAAAATATTTTTATTGACTTCAGAAAGGGAGGAAGAGGGAGAGAAATATCAGTGATGAGAGAGAATCATTGATTGGCTGCACATGCACACCCCACATCGAAGATGGAGCAGGCAACTCGGGCATGTGCCCTGACTAGAATCAAACCATGACCTCCTGGTTCACAGGTCGACACTCAACCACTGAGCCACACTGGCCGGGCAGTGCTGTTCAGTTTGATCCACTTGTTCCCGTTCTGCTGTGCCAAGTCAGCTGACACTGTCTGTGTTGATAAAACCCACAGAATTTTGGATTTGATCTCTTCCATGTTCATGTGCTATGACCCATACATTTGTAATATTTATTCCTTTTTGGCCAAAGACAAAGGCAGGAAAAATGAGATGTACTAAGAATACACCTGCTCAGCCATCCCCATCCCACTATGCATAATCCATGCAAAGACCTGGGCTCAGGGACACAACCATCTCACATTTTGCACCTATTTGTGAATGTCCTGTTTCATTAGCGAGACTCACTGCTTGGTGCTAAGAATGTGTTTTCTGTCCCGGTAAATTCAGTGGCCAGTCACGTACCCAAAACCATAAGCCAGCAACGCTCCAACCCAAGTCCCATTGGAATAAAACTTATGAAAGAGAAC